AGCAGAACCTCAGATAGTCAATAGAATCTGTGTCTTTTTCAGGATGTTTCTGAACTCTCTAAAATAAAACAAGTTTTGAATTATAGAATCCATACATTTTTCAAACACAAGCACCACCAGAGGAAATTGCTATTAATTTTCTTTTTTTTTTTTTTTTTTTTTTTTTTGAGACGGAGTCTCGCTCTGTCACCCAGGCTGGAGTGCAGTGGCGCAATCTCGGCTCACTGCAAGCTCCGCCTCCCGGGTTCACGCCATTCTCCGGCCTCAGCCTCCCGAGTAGCTGGGACTACAGGCGCCCGCCACTGCGCCCGGCTAATTTTTTTCTATTTTTAGTAGAGACGGGGTTTCACCATGGTCTCGATCTCCTGACCTTGTGATCTGCCCGCCTCGGCCTTCCAAAGTGCTGGGATTACAGGCGTGAGCCACCGCGCCCGGCCTGAAATTGCTATTAATTTTCAAAACTCACTGTTATGCAGATATTTGGTGGAATCACATGAATGTTCAACTATCAGCACTTTCAAGTGGTTTCACCTAATAGATCAAGTAGTTTGTAAATCTCAGGCAACATTAACATAATTTTTTTCAATCCCTTTGCATCATTCTTTTTATTTTTATTTTTTTTTTATTTTTAATTTTTTAATTTTTTTTTTTTTTTTTTTTTGAGAAGGAGTTTCCCTCTCGTTGCTCAGACTGGAGTGCAATGGCATGATCTTGGCTCACTGCAACCTCTACCTCCTGGGTTCAAGAAATTGTCCCGCCTCAGCCACCTGAGTAGCTGGGATTACAGGTGCCCACCATCACGCCCAGCTAATTTTATATTTTTAGTAGAGACGGGGTTTTGCCATGTTAGCCAGGCTGGTCTCCAACTCCTGACCTCAGGTGATCAATCTGTATCAGACCCCCACAGTGCTTACACCACGCCTGGCCCCTTTGCATCATTCTAAAACCATCTTTTCATTCTGATGGATAATTGCAACTGAAAACTTTCTAAAGTTTACTAAGTATTTATTGCTACTATTTACATTTTTAATTATACTACTATAATTTTCTTTCTTACTATAGTAAGAAAGCTATTACTGATGACTATTGTAATCTCTATTGATATTTACAATTGATATTTTTGCTCTTTGGTTTTAAGATAAATTCTTGACTGCATGAATATCAATAATAAAAAGATTTTTCTGCCTGTGTAATGTTTCAAGGTTTTCAGCATGCTGTGCAAAAATTACCTGGAGCAATGCCTAGGACGCTCCATTGTAGGCAGGCATTATTATCACTCCAGTCCTTATACTAGACACTAGGCAAGCAATACCCATGTCACCTGGGTGTGGTGGCTCACGCCTATAATCCCAGCACTTTGGAAGTCTGAGGTGGGCGGATCACCTGAGGTCAGGAGTTCAAGACCAGCCTGGGCAACATGGCAAAATCTCATCTCTACAAAAAGTACAAAAATTAGCCGGGCATGGTGGCACATGCCTGTAATCCCAGCTATTCAGGAGGCTGAGGCAGGAGAATCGCTTGACCCCAGGAGGTGGAGGCTGCACTGAGCTGCCATTGCACCACTGCACTCCAGCCTGGGCGACAGAGCAAGACTTCCATCTCAAACAAAACAAAACAAAACAAAAACAACAACAATTAAAAAACCATCTTACGGAAGAAGAAACAGAGGCTCAGGAGGTGACCAGCTGTGAAGGGGTGTGGCTGTACCCAGATCTAAATAGTCACAGCTGATTACATGTATTCACTACATCTTTGTTAAGCAACCTGTCCAGGAGTGACTCAGTTATTGAAAAAAGTGCATTTCAGTATCATGCTCTGAATAAGACATTGCTCTTAGGATGCAGAATCCCTAGTTTCTTTCTCCCCTGTGTGCTCTACATAAATCCAGACCTTCTCAGGTGGCTTCCGTACCACAGTGAAGAGGAAGCTTATGGCCTCGGCCAGGTGTGGGCCCTGCTCCTCCACCAGGCTAACCTTCAGGGCTGGCTTGGTGCCTAAGATAGCCCACAGCTTGCTGCCCCTCAGCTGCTAGCCCAAAACCAACAGCAAGAAAGCAGACTGTAATGTGGAGGAGACTTTTTTTTTTAAATGAAATTTTATTCCTAGGAGACTCTAAAAATTAATACTTTATTCTACTGTTCTTTTCGGTTATGTAAGATTATTTTCCAAAATGCTGGCAGCAGTTGTCTTCTGTATTAACTAATTTTCTGTTGGTGATTATCAACATGGTGGAAAGGCAGGATTGGCTAAATCGGGGCTTTCCACTCTTTAACATGCATACACATCCTCTGAATATTTTTAAAAAATACAGATTCTGATTCAATAGGTCTAGGATGGCACCTGAGAGGCTGCATTTCTGGAAATCTCCAAGGGACTGGTCCACAGACCACACTTTGAGTGGCATGGAACGAAAGTGTTTCAAACAGTCCTTGTATCTGCCTGATGATCTGTGAGAATAGGATCAATCTAAAGATTAGTAGTGATTCTTTTTTTCTGAAAACAATAACAACCAAAATGATTTCTAGTTGATTTTATTTTTCCCTATTTACTTTTTCTATGAGAGTGTGAGAATTAAATGGAATTCTCTTTCCTAGTGTTTGGGAATAAATCAGGTGTTGAGTTAAATAAGCATCTCTCTCTCACTGTCTCTCTCTCTCCCCCCCCCCCCCCGTCCCCTTTTTCTCTGTGTCTCTCTCTTTCTCTCTCTGAACTCTAGAGAAATGCTGAGCTGCTGCCTTTTGGTCCTCCCCCTTCTCTGAATTTTCCCATCTACCCTTCTCTGCCTTTGCTTGATCCTTTTTCCCCCCATAAAGATTTGGGGTTTTTATTGACTGGAGACAGATTTTGGCAAGAATGTCCCAGTTATTTTAGTTTGTGCAGTTGGTCACATTCTTTTGAAATTAGCCTGAAATTAGATTACTGCTCAAGATAGCCGTGAAGTAATATCAGCGCTCGGTATTTAATTCTGAATTATCTGGCAGTGCTGAATGAGCTCTGTCAAAATGGACATGGCCAAGGTCTCAGCAGTGATAGTGTTGCAGCCTGTTGGGTTTTTTTTTTTTTTTGTTGTTGTTGTTGTTTTACTTTTTATTTTGAAACAAATACTATAAGAAGATGCACAAATAATAGTTTTGAGTGTACATCATCCAGCTTTCCTCAAAGATAACACCTTACATAACCATAGTACATTATGAAAATCAGGAAACTAGCATTGGTACGTATTATTAACTAAACTACAGACCTTATTTTGATTTTACCAGTTTTTACACGCACTCTTTTTTTGGGGTGGGGGAGGGTATACAGTAGTATAAAGTTTTACATATCTGTATCTAGATTTATGTAACCACCATCACAATCTTCCTGATTGCTAAAAGTTGGTGTTCTCCAGGATTCTCTCCTGAACACTATTCCGTTTTCATTCTCCACATTGTCCCTGGGCCCTCTTATCGGTAATCGTGACTGTAACTATCTTTTCTATTTGGATAATTCTCAAATGTATAACCTTAACCTCTGTTGAGCTCTATACCTCACCATTTCCTGGCCTACTTCCCGACACCCACTGACTATTTTATCTGTCCCATGAGCTCCAACATAGCCAAAATTGAACCTGTATTCCTTCATTTTTAAACTAAATAATCTCTATTTGAGGGATTAACACTTTGTGGTCCAAGTCAGAATTCCCAGGGATCACCTTGGAAGCATCCAGTCTCCCTAATCCATCTCCACATGATAAAAACAGCCAACACTCCTAGAGCAGGTACGTGTGCCGGATACTGTCCCATACCCGCTCGAGGGATCAGCTCACTTTGTTCTGATGGCAGTCCCACACTTTGTCAGAAAGGAATCCAAGTTTCATGAAGCCTGAAACTCGTATAGTTTCCTGTCCCATTAAAGAAAAAGAATAGGAGGTTACAAATATTAGAATTAGTATTTATCAAGGGAAATATTTGGGCTAGTGCAAGTGAGGGGCCCTGAAAATTGACCTTCACTAGATTCATAATCTATCTGCCTTTGAGATAAATGCTATTCTTCTTGCCATTTTACAGTGAGACAATCAAGGAACACAAAGTTTGCAAAAGTTAACTTGACCAAGGTCCTCCTGTCACAGGGGCCTCATTACCTCTTGCTGTGTTTTAACAGAGGCCTCCTATGTGACCTCTCTGCTGTTTATCAGCCCCCTTCGTCCATTCTCCACACTGACCCCAGAGGGATCTGCACACAGGGCCATGTCTCTCTCCTGATCCAAAGCTGTCACTGGTTCCTGGTCTCTTTTAGTATAAGAGCTAAACTGTTTTTGCATGACTCCCTGGCTGTCCCCTCTGACACTGGAGGTTGCATGATGCTGAACTGCTAGGGGCTCCCGCCAGTGCCCCACACTTCCACTTCCTACTCCTTTCTATGTGCCCTTCTGCTGCCAGGACTGCTGTCCTCCCATCTCCTCTACACACTGCACTCTTTATCATTTTATCCAAAGTAGAAATTGCATTATTGGTTATTTTTAGCTTATAGGAGCAACAGATGGTTAAAGTAAAAAAAAAAAAAAAATCATGTAATGCAAAGAAAAAAAAAGCACAAAGAATTGAGTAAAAACTACCAGATCTGTGGCCCCATTTTTTGGGATGAACCACCATTAAGTGTATAGTATATATATTTTTCATTTTTCCTGCTCTGTATGTGTGTGTGTGTGTGTGTGTGCTAGTGTATAAAATTGGGATATGTTACTATGTTACTGTTATTCTTTTTCATGTTTATTAATCTTCCAGACTTTTCTCCAAAATGTTTTCCTTTTTGTTTTGTTTTTGCAAATCTCTTAGATTACTAGGAAAGCCAAGTCTCTCCTCCTGGATTTCTTCTCCTGTAAACTGCCTATTGAGACCTACCCACTTCTCTATGGAGCATAGATGAAGGATATTGGTCATGTATGTTGAAATATTTGTCCAAGTTTATCCCTAGTTTTTTGACTATTTAAGGATTAGGAATTTAATGTGTATATACTTGTAGATGCCTTTAGAACAATGACCATATCTTTTTTTATCTCCATTGCTCCAGCATCTAGTACAACGTCTGCAATGGAACAGGCAAGCTGTGAATATTTGTGATATGCTTGGGTGGACTAAAGACCCATCGCCTCTCTCTAGAGTGCCCAGCGTGTTGGAGGTAAGAGCTCATCTTCTGGTCTCTTTACCCCTTCTCATACAGAGCCAGCCACCAAATCCTGCAAATTCAACCTTCAAAATGTCTTTACACATCCCACAACCACCACCACTCTCAGATTTATCATTTCTCACCTGGATTCCTGCAGTAGCTTCCTCTCTCTGGTCTCTCTAAGCTAACGCTTTCTCTATCTGTGACCGGGGTTTTCTAAAACACAATCTGTTCATTTCACTCTCCTGCTTAAAAACCTTGAATGACTCCATAGTGCCTGGAGGAGAAACCTAAATACTTTAGAAAGAAGTTCAAGTCTCTCCATAAAATCTGGTCCGACTTCCCTACTAAGCCCCGCCTCTTTTTCTTCTCTCTCTTTACATCTTCTATTCTCCAGCTGTGCCACACTTTCAGCTGTTCTGGAACAGACCTTATATTTCACAACTCTTTGCTTATTAGATCCATCTCAAATGTCAGACATTCCATGGAATCTTGTCCTGTCTGTCTATCAAAATTATCACCCTACTATTACCACCATTAGCACCACCATCCTTACCTGGTATACCTCCCTCTATCCTCTACACTTCCTCATTAATTCAAAGGTAAGTTTATATTTCTCTCCCTATTTCAACTTCCTGCCTCCATAGAAATGATTTTCTGGTTCAGCAGTTTCAATGAATCAATCAAATATTTGCACACCTGTTATGTGCAAAGTACTGACTCCATTTCTGATACTCAACTCACTTTTCAGTTGAAATTTTGAGTGCAGCTGAGTTCTGAAAAATTATTAGTTTATAAGAGTCTGAAAATACATGCATTTATAAAAATCTTGGGGGACCTCCTCTTTCAGCTTTGGAACCCCCCTCCGTCTGTCTCTGAATGGGGGAGCCTCTTCTTCCTGTCTTCTTCCTTCCTTCTTGCCTATTAAACTCTCCACTCCTTAAAACCATCCCACATGTGTCTGTGTCATTTTATCTAAACCGGCATGAGGACGAAGAACTGTGGTGTTCCTCCACTCATCAGGGCCCAATCATTTTGGTGCATGCGCCGAGAAGGGAAATTCAGTAATCAGACTGAAGCAATCAAACTCCAACTGGTGCTATAAACTGAACCACACATGGACCCGCCATTCTTCGGAGGACTCTTAGATCTACCCCAGGAGGAGGGCTAGCTGTTGTTACCCATTCAACACCCCTTTTCAGCAGGAAGTAGCCAGAAAGAGTCGCTCCCCAAAACCCACTAACAGCAGGTAGTGTGGCATCTCCACAGGGGGGAGTGTTGTAGGAAAAGGGGTTCTTGGGAGGTTTTCGGTTTTTAAAGCATCTCCAGAAAAGTTTCCTGTAAAGCTCCGGCTCTCAGAGCCAGGTCAGCAACCTTTGATATGCAAATGCAGGCCGTTAGAAACTGGGTCCACCCCAACGTGGAGGCCTTCTTGCCCTTTCCCCACATGTTCCTGGCAACATGGCCACCCCCACATATCCCCACATGTATAGAAAATCATGGCACCCTGTATTTGCATATTAAAAGGGTAGGGTGGGAGGGCCAGCTTTTTCATGGGCTTCATGAATGACATGCCTAGTCAAACCAATCCCCTGAGCCCTATACAAATCAAACACCGCCTCCTCCAGCATCTGCATGTATACCTGGCTGGTATCCGTGGCAAGGTGGGAACCTCCTGTTTTGGCTTGGGAGACCCCTTCCCTCTGTCTCTGTACAGGAGAGCTTCTTCCTTCTGTCTTACCCTTTCCTTCTTGCCTATTAAACTCTCCACTCCTTAAAACCATTAAAAAAAAAAAAAAGTTGAGATGAAAAAAGCCTTGTAAACTTCTCTTGGAACAGAAGATATGAAGCAAGCAGGGAGGTAGATGGCAGTGTATTCCCAGCCTTGTTAGCTAAGCAAGTGAGCGGGAAGGAGGGCTTCTATTCACCAGTGATACATTCTCACTCACTGTGTGATGATTCAGTCATCTGGCACAGCGTCCTCTAGTTCAATTAAAATATGTCTGAGTTTTGGTCTAAATATAGTAATAGACACAAATATTAAAACCATTTTTTCCTAAGCTTTTCAAAAATTATATATTCTGAGGATATGATGGATAGTCATTTGCCTCTGCAAATTTAAGGCACACAATTTCTATTCTCATTGCAACATGCTTTAGGGCTGAATATAAACAAGAAAAGGATTCAATATGCATACATTAATATTAGTAAACCTTTGCCCCTAGTAAAATGATCATGACTATAAAACTTTAAGGCTCATCATTTTTCTTTCAAGGAAACAGTCAAGCATATTTTAAACATGTCAACAAAAAGTAAATTCTTTCATTTGCTCATTCCTTTCTCCCTTCCAGCATGTGAAGCACTATATGAGCTGCTGAGGATACAGGAATAAACAACAACACAGGTGTGTCCTCTGCCCAAACCAGGCATAAATGAGCTTCCAAATGAACACAAACAAACCTGGAAGGCTTTTGAGGAAGAAGGACCATTACAAAAAGTACAGAGCGAATGTGTTGAGATCATGTTTATCAATCATTGAAGTAACTATTCTCCACAATTTCAATGATTCTCCAGCCAATATACTATTACCCCTCCTTATTAAAATAAAAATGAAAAACCCTACCAATAGAAAGCTGCCTTTCCTAGTAGATTGCATGCAAGTCATACTGTTAACTAGAACTTAAGATACCTTGTTGATTTAATCAGTAGGTTACTATGGGTAAATTCAGTATTAAGAGAAGTGAGGCTATCAATATTACAGATATGTCTTGCATTTTTTCAGTCAGTTATTACTTGAGCTAACATTAAAAATCTTAATATATTGCACTCTATGTTTTTTGAGCACAAATATAACAATTTGAAAAATAAGGTAACTGGGCACAGTGGCTCACGCCTGTAATCCCAGCACTTTGGGAGGCTGAGGTGGGTGGTTCACAATCTGGAGATCGAGACCATCCTGGCCAACATGGTGAAACCCCGTCTCTACTAAAAATACAAAAATTAGCTGGGTGTGGTGGTGCGTGCCTGTAATCTCAGCTACTCGGAGGCTGAGGCAGGAGAATCACTTGAACCCAGGAGGCGGAGGTTGCAGTGAGCCGAGATCGTGCCACTGCACTCCAGCCTGGCGACACAGCAAGGCTCTGTCTCAAAAAATAAAAAATAAATTTAAAAATTGCAGAACATTTTCTTTAAATAATGTGATTTTTATCATAAGCTATTGATTTTCTTCCAGGGTCATTTGCTTCCCATCTTTCTTCCAAGTGTCATCATCTTATATATTTCACTTTTTATAAAACTTTAAACAGCAAAAGGCCATGCAAAATGGAAAAAGCTAACGTATTAATTCATTTAGTCCCTTAAAAGCTGTATAAGAAGCTATAGTTGAAAAAATACTATAGTTGAAAAAAGAGTTATTAGGAGTGTTGCAATGTACTCCTAAATGTCCTATAACTGATGTATTAGTCTTATACTCTTCTTAATCATATATAATGATCTTAGTACTAGCAGACGTCTAAGGTCTAAGATGGCATTTAATGCAATTTTGTCTCCAAATTCTGCTGTGGTTTCATCAATGCCTTTTTGTCAGCTCTGAGTTTAAATTTTAATCTGGAACCATAACTGATTTATCCCAGCTGCTGACAACTGCCTGGAATCTGGTTTGGAGCATCTCCAAAGCCAACGTACTTTCCCCCAAGAAAACACAGGAAGATCTCTCTGCCCAGGCTTGAAAATACATAAGGATCCGGTTTTCCATCCTTTACTTTAGGGCAACTTTAACATGATTCAATGCCCGCTGACTGCCTTTACTGCTACAGGTAAAGTAATAAACAAAGCAGTCAACTCTCAGGAGCTCTCTCTTTTGTCTGCTTTATGTGGCCATTTTCCTTCATTGCCCTCTCACATTCACTCAGTAATCCACCAAATATTTATGGAGCCTTCATGGTGTGCAAGGCAGTGAACTCCACACTAGGAAGAGTGAAGCCATGGAGATCACAGGCCTGGCTCTTCATACCTTTGCCTTTCTGTCGAATTGAACTTTCTGTTAAGTTTAAAATACACAACAGAACTTTGATGATGTTGAGGCCTGGTTGGGGATGGGACAGATAACCAGCCCTTAAAAATAAAGCTTCTCCAGCCCCGCCGAATACCTTCTGAAAGAAGGAGGGTTATTATAGAGCATAACTAAAACAGTAGTGATTAATAATGATAAGAAAGTTTATCTCTTTACTCACTCAAGAGCAATCCTTTTGGGGCAAATCACTTATGATTTCCTTCCAGGATTGAAGAGAGCATGCACAGACGGAAGGTGGGGGCTGGTGCTGGTGCTGAGCCTGGCATGGGGAGGGAGGAAACAAGAGTGAAAAGACTCTTTCATTCTTCTGGCAAAGGCAGCCTTGCAGCTGGGGCCACGGTCTGCGGTGCTGATCCATCTGCTGGGCAGTCGCCTCCCAAGAGAGCCTGTGTTCCTCCAGTCATGCGTATCTTAGCACCAGTCTCTGGCAGGAGCCAGGAGATGGGGAAGACAATTTAAATGATTGACATAACTTCAAAAAATGTGGATAAGCCCATATTTTTCTCCCAAACCAAGAATATCTACTCAATCTAAACTCTTACTTGAGATCTCTCTTCCTCAGACCCAGCGTCACGAACTTGCCGTCTAACCTGGCAGGTCAGTAAAACCTTACCCCTTTCAGGTCCTCATCTGTAAAATGAGAAGGTGGCAGCAGAGGTTCCGAAGGCTCCTTCCAAATGAAAACAAATACGCTTTTTACATCAGTAGAATTTCAATGGGCTCACACTTGACTCTGAAAGAGAAAATAAAAAATTATTTGTGTTTCTGTTGGCCCTTTCCTGTCATTTTAGCTTACTTATTTCTACTTATTGACCCCATTTTTGTGTTTCTTATTTCTTCTATTAACACCACTAGATTAAACCAAGCAAAAATTTAAAGATTAATATCCTTTAAAAAAATTTTAGACACATAAAACACACACACACACACATACACACACACCCTGCATGTAGATGAAGCAGCTAGAAATGAAAGCCTAACTGAAACATAATTCCAGTGGTTCTCAAACTTTAGCAGGCATTAGAATCACCTGAAAGATTTTTTAGAATGCATATTGCTGGGCATCAACCCAGAGTTTTTAATTTACTAGGTGAGGTGGAGTCCCAAAATTAACATTTCTTACAGGTTCCAAGTAATACGGATGTTGCCGGTCTGGGACCACACTTTGAAAAACACTGCTTTGTAGCACAGCTTCCAAGAGACTCCAGTGTGTGTTCTGTGTGTATCTTCTCTATGTATGTGTGTTCTGTATGTGTATATGTACAGTACACGAATCTCCAATGTATATTCTTGTCTAATCCCTTAAAGTCATGATGTGCCTCAGGCCATAGTTTCTTCTCTCTACTGATTGTCAGTTGTCACCAAGTTGAGGTGGCGTGGCATTTTTCCTTATGTCAAAACGCTTTCCATCTATTCCTAACTGATTGCCTCCTGATTTCTTGGTTCCCTTGACTATTTCATTGAAAGTATCTCAAACCATTGTAAAACTTGCATTTTAACATCTAGCATGACATTTTCCCTTTGCTTAGTTTCATTTTCATGTCAGATTAAGAACTCCCACCAATACACATTCTCATTTAATCCCCCAGCCATTGTGATCTAAAACTCTTTGCCAGAAATTCTGCATGCCCAGAAGACACACACACACACGCGCACACACACACACGCACACACACACGCAATGACAGAGAGGCCACTCAAGTCAGGGTAACAAGGTGGAGCCTTTGCAGTGCATTTAGCTAATGCTAATAGAGATGCAGTATAATGTAGTTGTACCAAGTTTCCATCTTTGCCTTAAGCAGGATATGAGCCTGAGATTGTAGAAGAAAGGATTCTGTAAACAGATTTATTTCATGATATTTGGGTAGACAGTTCTTGTTAACATAGAACAACTTTATACTAACTATAGGAAATGTTTTTCAATAAATTCTCCTTGACAATCAATGTGTTCTCAGGTTCTTATCTTCTGAGAGAGAGCTATAGAAAAAATTATTCTGGGAAGTGTATGGTATGGCACATAAAGAGGAAGGAGTGGTTATTTGTATGAAATAAAAATTGTAACTGATTTTTAATAGATACTTACATGACTTCATCTCTGTTAGAGTGCCAACATTAAAACTAAGTAACAATTATGAGGGCTTCTTAGCAGTCCTCTCCAAGGTGAGGAAACAAGATCTGTTCTTCAACACTGTCTTCTGCTACCTGCTTGCTCCTTCCCATCTCCCTTTCTGCCTACACAGAGGGTCTTGTCATTTAGCAGGAAGAAAAACGACTCAGGAGCCCTGAAGAAAAACGACTCAGGAGCCCTGAAGCAGAGGGCTGCTGCTGTTGCTGATGATTGATGGGTCTGGGTAATTTCACCTCTGGTGTCAAAAAGATTTAAGTTTCACTTGCAAGCCACTTGCTGAATCCAGCCATCTATCTCAGCCCTACCAAGTTTAACCCACTCTTAGCCCTCACAGGCATTAGGCATTTCTTTCCCATTCACAGTTATCTGTGACTTTTTTTCTCGTTGCACATATGTTTGTAGCATGTGGTATGTTTGTGCATGTATGTGTATGTGTGTGTATCTGGAGTGAAGATGACTGAGCTTCCGGTCTCACTAGCCTAGATAGAACTTCAAGCCTCCCTTTAAAATGGCCTGACTACGTCAAATAATTTTTTTAAAAAGCTACTTACTTAATGACATCTTTAACACTTCAGATTTCTGTACATATCTATAATATCTTACTGCTATGGTTTGGCTGTGTCCCCATCCAAATCTCATCTTAAATTCCCACGTGTTGTGGGAGGCACCTGGTGGGAGGTAATTGAATCATGGGGTGAGTCTTTCCCATGCTGTTCTCATGATAGTGAATAAGTCTCTCGAGATCCGATGGTTTTATAAGGGGGAGTTTCCCTGCACAAGCTCTCTCTTTTTGCCTGCTGCCATCCACGTAAGACGTGACTTGCTCTTCCTTGCCTTCCACCATGATTGTGAGGCCTCCCCAACCACGTGGAACTGTTAATCCATTAAACCCTTTTTCCTGTATAAATTACCCAGTCTTGGGTATGTCTGTACAGCAGCGTGAAAATGAACTAATACACTTACTAAAGATATTCTACTGTCCCACAAAACTTATTCGACACATTGCCTCGACTGTAGAAGCTGTGTTGTGAATTATGACTGTGGGCAGGAGCTATAGTGTTACTCTGTGACTTCTGTTAGTATAGCTTGGTGGAGATCAGAATATTAATTTGTAGATTTCTTATGTTCTATTATTTACTATTTATTTATTTTTTAAGACAGGATCTTACTCTGTCACCCAGGCTGGAGTGTAATGGGAACTCAACACAGCATTGACCTCCTGGGCTCAAGTGCTGGGCTCACCACAGCAGCGACCTCCTGACCTCCCATCTGAGCCTCCTGAGTAGCTGGAACTACAGTGCTCACCACCACACCCAGCTAATTTTTGTATTTTTTGTAGAGATGCGATTTTGTCATGTTGCCTGGGCTCAAGTGACGCACCCACCTCAGCCTCCCAAAGTGCTAGGATTACAGGTGTGAGCC